TGTAACTACTCTTAGGTACCTATTTTTCTCTTTTGAATTTCATTCTCTTGCACTTTTCTTAGAATCAGTATAGTTTAGTCTTAAAAGTAAACTCTAGGTCTTTAGACTTTTGAGTTGTTCCACTACTGGATTCAATAATACTGTGCACAAAATATCTAGTATCCCAAATGTGTTATGGGCAGCTAGCTACTAGAATAATGGATGGTGATCATTTATCTTTATTGCTGGTACAGAATCTGATTGGGTAAAAATGATGATGGAAAACTAGGTGCTTACATAGACAAATCTGGGGAGTGGAAAACTTTAACACCGTAAGATAAAAAAAGTGAGGGCACCTGATAACAGTTTATATGCAGACTCATCCTGCCTAACTCAAATTATTAATGTCAAATTCATTTCTTCAGAAAAGTCACTGTGCATCAAAGTTCAGTTGAATTAATCTCCTAGTATTATGAGAGTAAAAACACAAGTAGTATCCAAGTTGCTGCACATCAACCACCATCAGTTTTCTTTTGGTTAATTGTGGGTTGAAAGGGAATAGAAAGTGGAATAGTGAGTGTGAGAAAAATACGCAATGTGGCCCAAAATTGAAATATTGTAGAAATACTAGCTTAGGAAGTCCAGTTCTGTCTCAGTGCAGGAATCTCTTCCATATACAGAGCAAGGTACATATATGCATACTAAGCTCTTGTGTTTCCGAGTCTTGAGGCTGAATACTGTAAGATTATAGGCACCAATGACATGGCTACAAACCACAAAGTGGCTAGGAAGCTGTCACATGACTTAGCTGTGGATATCTGTAAGCATATGCATACATGATTGAAGCACCCCCTGTCCTGTGTTGTAAACTGAAATTCAATCTTATTGATTAAAGCAACAACAACAGCAAACAGGAGGAAGAAAATACAGAAGACCAAACAGAAAGGAATAGAAATTAACCCACCAGGTAAGCTTAACTAAACCAACCCTGGAGGCTAAAGGAATATAAAAACTTACTATAGCATTATATCTTTTCCTAGTTTTCAGTGACAGGAAATAAAACAGTAGAATAACCAAAGGCCATCCAGCAGGAAAAGCCAAAGGTAAGTCTAACTGCAAACAGTGATAAAACAGAGCTACAACACTGAGGAGGCGCAAGCTGATTTCTCTTCTACTTAGTGAATTATAGAATGCTACTTGGTTGTATTGGCTGAAGGAGGAAAGGATCAATGCTGAAGTAAAAAACTAGTCTGAGTAAGAAATATTTTCTGAGAAGAGACTGGTATGATGAACAAGGAGCTAATGTGACATTAATCCCATGCATTATCAAATTATGAAGAAAAGAGTCCATATACTCTATCTCATTTCATTCTATTGTTATCATTACAACCATCTCTCTCTCCATCTCATTATCTTTGCTCCTGCTCCCAGGTTTGTTTCAAGTCTATTCTTTCTCTTTCTCATAACTCTATATTTGTGTCTAGTCTTGATCTAATGAAATACAATCCTAGACTTTTGGATTCTTTCAACTACTGCTTATCCACTGATACATGAGTAATTAACCAAAGTGATCAATAGAGTGTGATTTGACCAATTCAAGCATAGAAACATACTAAAGCAAATACTAATAGTAGACAACACTGAAGGTGAGTACCAACAATGGAGAAACAAATAATATACATTGTATTGTCTTTATTTGTGAATACAAACTGGCTTGGTGTATTTGTATTAGATCAGACAAACAATACAGACCAATAAAATACAAATAAAATGTATTTTCCAAGCCAATTCACAAAATAAGACATGTGGGGAGGGAAATACAGCAATCCCCGAATTTTGGGAGTCGAACCCCCAAAACCTTTGATTGGTTTGGGAGTTGACTCCCTAAGAAAAATAATAATAATTAAAAAAATCCCCGGTCGAATACCCAGGGCAGCGTCCGGGAAAATTCCTCCCGGCCGCTGAGGTACACTCTCAACGGCTGGGAGTTGACCCCTCGGCCATGAGAGTGTACACCTCAATGGCCGAGAGGAATCCTCTCGGCCATCAAGGGTACATATACACTCTCAACGGCCGATGGAAACTGCCTCAGCCGTTGAGGTGTACACACCTCAGCAACCGAGACGGTTCCCCTTGGCGTTGAGGGTACACACTCTCAACAGCCGATGGAAACCGTCTCGGCTGTTGAGGTGTACACAACTCAGCGGCGGAGACAATTCCTCTCGGCCGTTGAGGATATACACTCTCACCGGCCGAGGGAAACCACCTCGGCCGTCGAGGTGTACACTATCCGCGGCCAGGATGCAGCTCTTGGCCGTTGAGGTGTGCACTCAGCAGCAGAGTTTCTCTGAGTGTACACCTCAACGGCCGTTGAGTGTACCCTTGACCATTGAGGTGTGTACACCTCAAACGGCCGAGACGGTTTCCATTGGCCTTTGAGAGTGTGTACCCTCAACAGCCAAGAGGAATTGTCTCTGCCGTTGAGAGTGTATAGCCTCAACGGCCGAGAGGAATTGTCTCGGCCGCTGAGGTGTGTGCACTCTCGCGGCCGAGGGGTCAGCTCCCGGCCGTTGAGTGTACCTGATCAGCAGCCGGGTGGATTCCTCCCGGCTGCTGCCCTGGGTATTTTGGGTCATCGACCCCCAAACCCTGGTCGTTTTGGGAGGCCGACTCCCAAACCAACCGGGGATTTTGATTTTTTATTATTATTTTTTCTAGGGAGTTGACTCCCAAACCAATCAAAGGTTTTGGGGGTTCGACTCCCTTTTTTTGGGGAATCCGGGGCTTGGGAGTCGGCTCTCCACTTTTTGGGAGTCGTTTAACCAAGCCCCTATAAGAAATAGAATGTATTGTATTGGGTGAAAAATAAAATACAGACACAATTTATATGTAATAAAGGGAATATATATATACATGTATTTTTAATTGTTGGGCGGTTCATACTAAATTGATCTGCATTAAGGAGAAATGCTCATATCATCTGATCCATTCATCTCAATTGAATCAAACAAAAGAAAATAAAATAACCCTAAAAATTCAAAAACAGTAGAAGTATTTCATAGAAACTTTCACCAAATGTAGGACAATAGGGCACTATAGAGCAGATGAGCTCAAGCAAATTCTAGTACCAGGGCTTCATTGCTAGCATCAGAAGCAGAGAAGAATAAATTTCTCTTCAGTATCTACACATTTCAGGGCTAGAAAGCCTGGAGAGAAATGAGAGAGTGATGAGGGGAAGAGAAACAGAATCAAGAGAGCTCACCTAGCATCAGTAGCAGAGAAGAAGGAATTTATACTGAGCTAGGAACTGGGTGAGGCATGTGACTAAATGTAGTCATGGCCATTGAGCTTATGTAATCTGGACTGTTTCACCTTTTGAGTGATGAGCAGCATGGGGAGTCTCACAAGGTGAGCTCAATATTCCATCAATACCAAATAAGAAGAAACATTGAATGATAAGATTGAGAAACTGATTGGTGTAACTACACCAGAAGGAAACCGCCTACCTCACCACATTAACCAGGTTTAAATCTAAACAATCTCAAGAAGTAAAATGTCAAATTTGGACTGGAGGATTGACTTGGCATTTTATTTTTATGTCATATTTAAATCAGAAACATCAAGATCAGTCTAATCAAAGATAGGACTCAAGGAATACATCAAACAGTAGTGTTTAATATTCTTCTGTCAGTTAAAAAACATTATGATACCTAGTTAATAGTTTTGTATTCATTTATCTGACTTGACAATGCATCTTAGACCATTGAAATCTTTTAAATGGGACTAGAAGAAAGGATGGATGGATTGAAACACATGCAGGGGGCAAGTGTGGAAGACTGAAAATGGATTGATGATGTGAGACTGCCTGAGAAGATTTTGTAATAAAGAAATGAAATTAATGGGTAAGTACACAGTCACTGGAGTTAGCTTGATGTCACTGGTCATCAAGTGTTCATTGTTTTTTCCTGGTGAGTGTGTCTCCTGTCTAGAGGGGCCTGTTCCTGTGACATCTGATGTGTGGCCAATTGTTTGGGATGCTTCATCTGGGGGCTTGGCTTGTTACTTGAGGTTCTTGGCTGCCAGGGTGCCTGTCTATGTGCTTGAAGCTTTAATTTTCTGGGTCTCTTATTCAATATTGTTGGAATTCTGTTCTTTTCCTACTCATTCCTAAAGTCCTCAACAATTTTGACTATTATAACTTGAATTTAATTTCATTAATCAACTTAGTTTAGAATAGGTTATAGCATCTCAAGTAGCCTGTTTTTGTAGTCTGAACACACTTATGTAGTCATTGAACCCTAAGTAGTAGTATCATATCTTCAACTCATGTCTCTACAAGTGTCTTCTTTTTTAAACATATTTGTTAATTAAATTTTATATTACATATTCACTTTAACTCAACCACTGTTTGATCACATATATCTAGTTTATTTATGCTAGCCTAGTATCAGTAATCTAAACACCATTGGTTCTTTCCCTCTTTTCCGACCCTCTGAGCTGTTCCAACAATTTACTTCATTGTCAAAACTCATTCTCTGAGTATTCCTCTTCTCACTTGGGTTTATACTTTCAGCAAATATTGGCTTAGCACAGTGTGCACTTGCTAGCAGGTTTGGAGGCGCTTGTTGGTGTGCATGTTTCCAGATGTGGAGCTGCCAACCCTAAGCACAAACTGCCCAAATTTCCAATGGGGTGATCCAATATTAGAAAACCAACCAATCACATAACCCTGGTATGGATTTTGCAGCTCCTAAATTTGAGGTTTGCTTGCCCCAAAACCCTACTCAAATTAGAGATAAAAGATTGGTTTCACATGTCATAATTATGAATTGATGAAAACAAGGCTTGTGGTTTCTATGGAGTATCATTTGCCTGGGCATAAGAAGTGGGGAGAGATAAATTATTCAAAAAAAAATTAACATAGAAATTTGGAGAATTATGATCCCTTTCAATTTGAGAGCAATTACTTAAATAGAAATCACTTCATTTTTGATAAGATAGAGAGAAGATATGCATGGGATCAAAAATTTAATAAATGGAAGTAAACTAGACAGATTAATCAACGCTGAGAAGCAGATAAGTTGAGGAATTGGTACAGCAAGGTAGGTCCTATTAGAAAAAATAACTCTCAAGGAAAAGAAACAGCTAATTGGTAATGATCAGGAATTGGCTGTCAGATTGAATTCAAACCTCCTCCAACGTGACATATCATCCCCCATCCAAACTGGTTGGACATCTTTGGTGGGCGTAGAAGTTGGCTGAATCTGAAAAGCATCGCGTTCCACTAAAGTGATTCTTGTTTTAGGGGTTTGAGAGGCAAGCAAGATTGTTTGAGTTTTGGTTCCGCACCACGTCTGGGAGCTGATAGGCGTATCTGGCGTTTTGAGTCGATGATGGGGTCGGATTAAAATGTTGGAGGATGTGTCTTCATTGGAATCATTCGAAACTTGCCTAAATTTCAAAGTTGATTAAATCATTTTCAGTATACAGAGGAAACTAACAAAGAAATCAGAAAGATCCGCTGAGAAGATTTTTTACTCACGTGAGCAGGTTGAACAACTCCATCTCGACTTCATTTTGGTCAATTCGATCAGGTTTCTCGCCAGCTAGCTTCGAGAGGCAATCTTCCATCAAACAAATTCCATGGGAAACCTTGGGTAAAATCGGTGCTTGATGTGCGACCCCATTACTGATTCCGTGAACATCTGAATACCCCATAAAGGAACGCCCATAATCGTTATCGTTCCAGACATCGACTCCATCTATTATATCTGGTTCTTGATTACAGAAAAATCCGAATTGATTTTCTTCTTCATCCGTTTTACCGATCTGACCAATGACCAAGTTATAACCTTTCATGATTTTTGATGAATGGCTTGATTTCAATTTATTTAGATAACTTTTTATGCTTTTGGAACTTTGTAGAAAGTCTTGGATAATTCTACCTCTGCTCAACTTGAACGAAAAGGATTGTTTGAACTGATTACTTTCTTCTCTATTATCTACGATATTTGTTTGAGGAGATTCAATATTGGTTAAGAAAGCAAATTTTCCAGAAGTTTTACTAATCCCGAGCCATGTAGCGCCTGTCACCACATCTATTCCGGAAATGATATCGCTCTTCTGCTCCAATTTATCTTGTTGATTGACCTGGTGGCCACTAGCGATATAGTTGTTGGGTTCGGATAGTGACTCTGTTGGGGACATTGAGGATAAGGACGAAGAAGATGACAGTGATGGCAGTGATGATAATGAGGTTGGTGAAGCTGGGGGCGTTGATGAAAATGCTTGATATTGTTGATTGACTTGTTCAAAGGAGTGCCAATTAGCTGGCAAACTAGGTCGATTGAGAAATTCGTCCCTATTGAAAGCCAGAATCCTGTTCCAGAGTTTTATTCAGAAACCCATTTAAGTGTCACGCTTGTTATATGGAGGAAATTGAACCGCAATACTGACAGTTTATACCCAAGCTGGTTCTTTGTCGACCAAATTGCGATGCACATTTTAGCCTAAAAATGTTGTTTTGCAAGTCAAGAGTCTTCGAATTTGTTATTTTGTAAGGAGGCGAGTTGGCAGCTCTGCTAGCCCTGCGTGGGTCAAGTAAGACGAGAAAAAAAAAGCATCGCATCGGATTCCACCGCGGAGTCTTTATATGTAGCCAACCTCCACAATAATCTGCCGCTTCGATAGCAATCAAGACATCAAAGCCTTAGCATACAGACAAAAAAGTGGGCTGGTTCATTGATTCAAAATTGCTGACTGGCGCACAATTAAAAGTATTCATCAGCTGATTATATGAGAGCTCATTAATCAGTCGAAAAATTTAGCCCCTTGTCGTGCGTGATGACTGATAGTTAAAAATGCGTAAATCCTCTCTTCCAAAAGACCAATCGGCTCTTTGTGGCAATACTCTGATGACGCGGTCTGATTTAGGTTTTAAGGCTCTGTCACGTGCTCCCGCTAACATCTTGAAACACTTCAAATAACTTGCTGAAGCCTGAGTGAAAGGCTCTTGGATCAGAATATCTACCCAGCTCAGGCAAAAACTGAAGAAGTGACATTGTGCCCAAAAAACTTTGACTTTTACCCTCATATCTCAAATGCCCTTGAATGCTACATTTTGGAATGTTCCCCTGGGTTTTCACCAACTGATGCCTTTTCACGACCAGACAGTGGCCACATGTTGCAGCCAATTTTTCGGATCTCCTCCGGTGCCTCGGTATGCTGGGAAAGGGCTTGAAGGTATCAGACAAGATGTAGCTCAGGCCATTCCCGACCGCAAAAAGGAACCTCTGTCCCTTTAATCCCTTCCCCTTTGGCAATCATGAAAAAAATAAAATAACCAATTCATGAATTTTAACTCTAGAACCAGTCTTGTAAATTACCGATTAGTTTTCATCCTCGGATAAATGAAAAACACAACCTTCCAATGGAAAATAGGTTATCAAGGCACAGATGAGCAGCCTAATGCACAAGTCTTTTTAAAGGCAATAAATATATCCCATATGGAGTATAGTGGATTTTTCAACTTGAGAAAAGAATAGGAAATACTATCATGGACAGATCTTGAAGGCTGAAAAACCATGTTTAAAATTCTACAATAAAACTTTTTGTATATATAGGACAGTCAAACAAACAATCCAATTTCTGGTTCAGACATTGCCAACCTCATGAATTCCTGAACAAATATCAATTTTCTATTGCCCATGGGCCATACAAATATTTCAAAACTATCTATATAATTACAATTTCTTTTTATTCAAGGAGATAGTATTTTTGCAGCTCAAAAGTAGCATAAAATTTCTTTGGAAGATTTCTTTGTTTTTATTTCAAAGAGAACAGAAAGGTGATAAACCACTGCCACTACAGTTTATCAAGTTCATACTTTTTTGAAGAAATTATGACCAGAAGATGAGAGGATTTTTGAATAAATATCTTTTGGGCAACAAAAAAAATTTTGTTGGAATGGCTCATTGGGTCAGAAAATGAAGGAAAGAACCAATGAGTTTGATTATCATGTGGAATCAGTTTGTTACATAGACTGCATACATGACAACTGAAATGTGGTTTGAATAATGAATATTCAGAATGCCACAATCACAATAATGAGAAAAAAGAAGAAGATATTTCAAAGTCATGAGTTGGAGAAAAAGAGCTACTAATTATAAGGTTTTGTGGACTACAAAAGTGACATCAGTCAAAAAAAAACATGCTACTTAATACTATAATCTGGTCTCATATAATTTGATTAGAAAGAAAAAGAAAAACAGTTTGAAAAGTTGTTTTAGGGATGAGTGGAAAAGACAGCAAAATTCCAACATTTTTCTTAGCTTCCTTACATCCAGATTTTCCAATATTTGATGAAATATGCATAGTAAAAATTTCAATTTGTTAAAATGTGTAAATTTACCTATCCAAGAACTAGCAAGTCTCAACATGTTATTGAGGGAAATCTTTACATTAAGAGGTGGTGATTTTCATCAATTTTTCTTTGCAAGTAAGAGTCGGACAAAAGTCATATTGAGGTTTTGCTTTAGTCTATTTTTTTACTTCACTTTTATCTACACAACTCTTGAACTTTACCCTCATTTTTCTGTAGTGTATTAAAACCAGCGGCAACCACAGAAGGGAATTTCCATCTTCCCTCCACAGTCCTATCATAATTACCTCACTCTTTCGGCTTCTTTTCTTGATTTCTCAGGCTCTCACCCTCACCCTCAAGTCCGAATCCTTGGTGGACGTGTCCCATACTACAGAGACGTTTTCGTTTTCCATTTTGTTACTTAGGATGACAAGTAATACTATCCCTCAATTCAATTAAGTCCGATTATTTACTTCAGAGAAGTATAGAAATACCCAAATATGTACGTATTCTATTTACAAAAAAGACTATGGTGGTGGAAAGTCGTGTGGATGGGATGTCATCATGGCGACATCAGAGCCGGCTGGGGGGCTCCTATAGAGCTGATTTCTGTGTTCTTCTGTTTTGACCGAGTTTTATCTTTCTTGAGATTATCCGGCCGGTAATATTCCTTGACTGAAGGTAGGATTGAGAAGAACAATCACATAGCAGCCAAAGTCAGTGGTTCCAGACGAGCAAAGAACAAATATTCCGACGTTGTTTGATTTCGCCTAAGGCGATGTGCCCAAACCGATTTGTCAGACACTGGTCAAAACCCGCTTTGCAGACGCAGTCCGTGTTGAGGCCGAGAATAGACGAGGGAGACAGGAGATCGGCAAGGATTCGTGGCTCGACCATGCCCTCTTTCATGTCGGCCTTGTGGATCACCGACGAGCGGATGACTTTGGGCTCAATTAGATCAATATGCCAGGGTAGGATTTGGAAGACCGGCTCGTCCGACGCTGTGCCTGTGCTACCATATTCGGCGTTGTTGACTCCCGTCTCAGTTGTGGACGTGTCTCGTGTGGCTCTCGAGAGGCTCATGGTCAGCTGTCGAGCGGGCTGCGGGGACGTCGATCATCGGCTTCACGCGGCAAGACTCTTCTCCGCTAGACTGCAGTGCCAGTGTTGATCAGTGCGCAACATCCAATCAGGCGACTCAGGGCGACCCGGCTTGTGAGGCATCCGACTTGGCTGATATGTATCGCGCTGAAGATTGCAAAATTCCTGGAGATAAGACCTGATCAGATAAGCCATACAGTTGCTGTAGAGAAGCTGTCAGCTGAGCAGTCTGAGACTCCAAACATAAATTATTTACCGGTAAGAGTCTACTGGATAGGCCACACAATTACAGGCCTCCTGGTCTGTTGCACGTTCCGAGATAAGCAAGTTGCTGATTGGCTGATAGCCTTATGTATGTGTTATAGTCAGACTTTTTTCTTGAAAGGCTCGGTATAAGCGTAGACAGTGATGCTGTACAAACAAGTAGGAACAAGCACCTAATTTGAAGATATCGGTATCTATTGCTCCGTTTCTTGGCAAGCGATTAGCGATCTGACGTATAAATCACCCCTCACCCCCCTGGTCTCTTATTTATGTAGCTGGAGATCGCATCAAATTTATATTTTTTGCTCTTTGTTTTTACCTGTTGATCATTCATAAGTTTGCTATAATATGGTTTCGTCGAAGTTTTTCTTTGAATCTCATAGCCAAGTCTTGGCAGATTTGAATACAATGAGCAAATAAACGTGCATGCTTGCGCTGCAGTTCTCATGATGACTGCGAGTGATCCTGATGGGAGGAGGATGTACTTTCTTAGGGTTTTCGATTTTGACATTGAACATGCTTGAGGATATTTAAAGCTGGATGGCTTACAATGGTGTCATTTTCTGAGACATGAGTGATAGGTTTGTGCTATACAACGCGTACATCTGCTTAGAAAGAGAGGGGTGAAGAGTACTTGCTGCCATGAATGATGAATTTCTTTGGGGCCAGAATCCAGGGGATGGATGTTATTCCTGGGGAAGCGGGATGGATGTCTTTCCCCCCTTTTTTTTCTCAAGTCTTGAAGAATGCTGGTTGGCTTGGCTTTGCCTTGGCTTGTTTCTGAGTCTGTATGCTTGTCTGTACCATTCGAAACTCCAGTCAAGCCGGCTGGAGTGTTACATATTACAACCCCATATCACAGTTCTACTGAAAGTTTAAAATCTGACTGCTTCTTTATCACTCCGATATTCAAATGACGTCGCCTGCCATATAACTGTGGGCTCCCCCCGTCCTCCCGCTGGCCGATCCGTTTTAATCAAGCTTTTAAATTTCAGCTCGATCTTTCCAACCTCCCTCCGTTTCCCCATCGCAGCATTCTCCAATAAGAGATACCTTCAAACACCTTGTTTACCATTGATCAATCAGATTATTCTTGAGACCTTGAAGGTATGTTTATCACCATTTTCCTCTTTTGAGTAGTTTCAGAAAACCTTGCATCTTTCTCATCGATCAGTATCAATCAGTGTTCTTTATGTTTTTTCTTCCCCAATCAAAGTCTTGATAACCATATCTTTCATGACCACTGCTTGGAACCGTCAGAGCCGCTCTGCTTGAAACATATTCCCACTGGTGTTCTTGCAAAGATTCCTATCTCCTTCTCCTCTCAGAGAGGTAACCAAGTTAATAATTTTGAGTACATCTTGACTGATCTCACATTTTTTCTGTCTCCTTTTCTATCGCTTGAAACCATCGGTTGATGATCTGTTGACTACTCGATCAACCCAATCGATCTTGACCCTCCCCCAACCATAAATCATCGCCTCCCCAATCCACAACTGGTTCTCACATCCTACTACGCTTCGATCATCCGTTCCCTCCGGCTTATCGTCTCATCGTCAAACTCACATTTGCCAATCCTCGTCCTTCAACCCTTGGCGCTTCATCGAACCAATCCACTACTCTTAAACTCATCGATCTATTCACGAGCGCAGTCTTCTGCTCCAGCCTCTTGATTGACTGAGTATGGCCACTCACTTGACTGCTGATGACCCCAACATGAAGAAAGATGCGTTCTCTTTGCATACCCCCGCGTGAGTGTCTTGTTGACCATCTGATGACCCTTGGGGTACATACTGCGTGGAATCATCAGCTGATTGTGTTATTTCACTATTCTCAACAGCTCATCTCTTCCGGGTACCCCCGGTGGTACCATGGGACACCACACCCCCAACGTCCAGAGCATCCGTCGTCAAACCGCTGGCCATCGTGGCCCACTCCAAAAAATCCTGGTAGCCAATCGAGGGGTATGTGATTGATTTCCGGCCGGAAGATTTGGGCTGAAAAATGTTCTTCGCAAAAAACTGACTATTGATAGTGGTCACTCCGTTTCAGGAAATCGCAATCAGAGTGTTTAGAACCGCTCATGAGCTTGCTATGCACACGGTCGCGATCTATTCTCACGAAGATCGCATGAGTGCACATCGTCACAAGGTTAGGCGGTTTGGTTACCACCCGCTAAATTTTGGATCAATCAGAACTGACGAGGCTCTCAATTTAGGCTGATGAGGCTTACATGGTTGGGAAAGGCTGTACCCCAGTTGGCGCTTACCTGGCTCAAGATGACATCATTCGTCTTGCGCTTGAGCATGGTGTGGACATGATCCACCCAGGGTGAGAATTCAATTGATCACCCGAATCTCATTGCTTTATTCGCCAATTATCTGACCTGCTTTGTCTCATCACATCCAGTTACGGCTTTTTGGCGGAAAATGCGGTTTTTGCCAAGAAGGTGGAAGATGCTGGGCTGGCATTCATTGGCCCCCAACCAGAAGTGATCGACGGTCTGGGAGATAAAGTTAAAGCAAGAACATTGGGTCAGTAAACCCACTTTCAGGATTATGTACCTTTGAGCCATCATCTGACGACAGAAATCACCCGAAAAATCTGCCTTTTAGCTATCCAGTGTGGCGTTCCAGTTGTCCCGGGTACAGAGGGTGCCATCGCAAGTTACGATCTGGCCGATGCTTTCATCAAGGAGCATGGTTTCCCAGTTATCATCAAAGCCGCCATGGGCGGAGGAGGGCGTGGAATGCGAGTTGTGAGAGCCGCTGAGGACTTTAAGGAGTCTTTTGAGCGTGCTGTCTCCGAAGCCAAGTCGGCCTTCGGCGATGGTACCGTGTTCATAGAGCGTTTCCTCGACAAGCCCCGCCACATCGAAGTCCAACTATTGGGAGACAATCTTGGCAATGTCATTCATCTTTTCGAGCGAGACTGCTCCGTCCAACGTCGTCATCAGAAGGTGGTCGAGCTTGCCCCTGCTTCAAATTTGTCCGACGAGGTCCGCACTCGGATCCTTGAGGACGCCAAGAAGCTCGCCCAGGCAGTTAAATATCGAAACGCCGGTACGGCTGAATTTCTTGTCGATCAACAAGGCCGACACCACTTTATCGAGATCAATCCACGAATTCAGGTAGAACATACCATCACTGAAGAAATCACTGGAATCGACATCGTTGCCGCACAGATCCAAATTGCCGCTGGTGCCACATTGGCCGAACTTGGTCTCACTCAGGAGGCTGTTTCAAAACGGGGACATGCGATTCAATGCCGAGTCACAACAGAAGACCCGGCGATGGGCTTTCAGCCGGACACCGGGAAGATTGAAGTCTATCGCTCCGCGGGTGGTAACGGTGTTCGACTTGATGCCTCTTCCGGATTTGCCGGTGCTCAGATCACACCGCATTACGACAGCTTGCTCACGAAGGTGACTGTTCGCGGAGCGACATTTGAGATTGCACGACGGAAGATGCTGAGGGCATTGGTAGAATTTAGAATTAGAGGAGTCAAGACCAACATCCCCTTCCTCTTCAGAGTCCTCTCTCATGAGACCTTTGTCGCTTCCCAAACTTGGACAACCGTAAGTAGATCTTGAATAAATTAACCGATTTGTCTATTATGCACTTAGCCGTCTTGGACTCTTCATAGTTTATCGACGACACTCCAGCTTTGTTCCACTTGATCAGCAGTCAAAATCGTGCACAGAAGTTACTGGGCTATCTCGGTGACCTTGTGGTCAATGGTAGCAGTATCAAAGGGCAACAAGGCGAACCTGGTCTTAAAGACGAGATCGTAATCCCCACTCTTGCTCAACCTACTGATCCATCCCAGACACTCGATGTTTCTCAGCCATGCCAACAGGGCTGGCGAAAAATTCTCAAGTCAGAAGGCCCGGCAGCCTTTGCAAAAGCTGTTCGTGACTATAAGGGTTGCTTGATCATGGACACTACCTGGCGTGATGCCCATCAATCGCTACTTGCCACGCGACTCCGAACGATCGATATCCTTAACATCGCCCGCGAGACATCCCATGCATTGGCTAATGCCTTTTCTCTTGAATGCTGGGGCGGGGCTACATTTGATGTTGCCATGCGATTTTTGTACGAAGACCCTTGGGAGCGACTTCGCAAGATCCGAAAACTAGTGCCCAACATACCCTTGCAAGCATTAATCCGAGGTGCCAATGCCGTCGGTTATACCTCTTATCCGGACAATGCTATTTATGAATTTTCGAAAAAGGCAGTCGAGAACGGATTGGACATATTCCGTGTATTCGACTCGTTGAATTACTTGGAGAATATGAAGATTGGGATCGATGCAGCCAAGAAGGCCGGCGGTGTGGTCGAAGGCACAATCTGTTATACCGGTGATGTCGCAAACCCTGCGAAGAGTAAATACACGTTAGAATACTACTTGAAATTTGCATCAGAACTGGTGGCCGAAGGGATTCACGTTCTAGGGATCAAGGATATGGCTGGATTATTGACACCCAGAGCGGCCAAAATGTAAGTTTTTTGAAGCTTACGGTTCAGATGTCACATTTGCATTGCTTCTAACATTTTGCGTTGGGAAAAATTTCGGATTTGATAACACAGCTTGATCAGCGCTCTACGTGAAAAATACCCAGATCTACCAATTCACGTCCACTCCCATGATACCGCTGGTATATCCCTCGCGACAATGCTTCAATGCGCCGAGTCTGGGGCAGATGTGGTAGACTGCGCCATCGATAGCATGTCAGGTATGACTTCACAATGCGCAATGGGTGCCTTATGTGCTGCCTTGGAACAAAACGGACTCGGTACGGGTATCCGGTTTGAAGATATACAAGCATTGAATGTACGTGAATTCAGTGCGCTTGTTCCGGACAGGCTTACATCTGAGTGCACAAAGACTGACGAAAATTTCCAATTAGCTTTACTGGTCTCAATGCCGTCTTCTGTACAGTTGCTTCGATGCCAACGTCAAATCAAGTGATTCGGGTGTCTACGAGTGAGTCTTCTCGTTATTCTATTCGCACAGCCCTGGGGCCTCGTTCCTAATCGGGGGGCTTCAACTTGCATCTAGACACGAAATGCCAGGTGGGCAATATACCAATTTGATGTTCCAAAGTCAGCAACTTGGATTGGGTACGCAATGGGCAGCCGTCAAAACTGCTTATGTAGGTTGAAGCGATGTGTTGCCTTTTTTTTCAAGTAGTATAAAACCTGATGGATCCTTTCATCTGTTTGTATTTACAGATCGAAGCCAACCAGCTTTGTGGCGATATCGTCAAGGTGACGCCTTCCTCCAAGGTTGTTGGGGATTTTGCTCAATTCATGGTCACCAACAAATTGACGCGGGCCGATGTCGAAGAGCGGGCTTCCAAACTTGACTTCCCCAACTCGGTCGTCGAGTTCTTCCAAGGATATCTTGGTCAACCTGTTGGCGGCTTCCCTGAGCCTCTACGAACTCACATCATTCGTGATAAGCCCAGAATTGAAGGCAGACCCGGGATGTCATTACCTCCTTACAACTTTGAAGCCACTCGCAAAGAGTTGCAGGATAAATTTGGCAAAAGCATCACATCCACCGTTGAGTCTTTGCTTTTGGGCCCCACTAGAATTTGAGCACCCCTTACTAACTCACTCTGTTATCCCTTGTGCGAAAAAGGATGTATTGTCTCACTGCATGTACCCCAAAGTGTTTGAAGACTTTAGAGAATTTTTGTCGAAGTATGGTGATCTTTCGATCTTACCAAGTCAGTTGTCTCACATCTGTAATTCCTGGTGGGACTCATTCTAATCAGTTATTTTGATAAACAGCTCGACACTTTTTGGCCAAACCTGAGGTTGGAGAGGAAATGCACATTGCGATTGAGCAAGGCAAGACCTTGATTGTTAAGCTATTGGCATCTGGCCCGGTCAAGTGCGCTCACAGTTCAATCCCTTTACTGGATATAGGGAACAACTTGTATTAACGTTTTTCTCACCTTCTGGAACTTCAGCCCCGAGACTGGTGTTCGAGAAGTGTTCTTCGAACTGAATGGAGAGACTCGAGCAGTTCAGGTTGAAGACCGAAGCGCTGCAGTTGAAGTGAGTAACACACAATCTTGTTTTTCGAGAAAAAAATAAGAGCTTTAACATGTCACTTGTGATTTTTAGACCGCTCATCGTGAGAAGGCAACCTCCGACCCAGGCTCAGTTGGGTCACCAATGGCCGGAGTGGTCGTAGAGATCAGGGTCCAGGAAGGACATGAGGTTAAGGCCGGTGACCCCATCTGTATCATGTCGGCCATGAAAATGGAACAAAACGTGACTGCACCTGTTGGTGGAAAAATATCCAGGGTAGCTATCCAACCTGGTGACAGCATCGGATCGGGTGACTTGATTGTCGAAGTGAGTTTGGACATTTTCACACTTTATACTTAGATTTCCGTTACCACTCGTCGATATTTATTCATTTCTGTCCTGCTGTTTGCTTCAGATCAAACATAAATAGGAAAATTATTGAATGCGTGAATGTCTCGCCATTGGAGGGTTCAACTCAACAAAATTATAGCACAAATAACACAGTGGAAAATGTCTGGTGATTAATTCAGAGCGGTCAACAAAAAGAGAAAGAGATTCATGGTGTATGGTGGTGACCGAACATTTCTCACTCAGCTAAAACTGCTAAAACTGTATTGTTGTTGGTGCCAAAATTACAAAAATAAAGTTAAAATTGTTGTAAATAAGGGCCAGTGCTCACTTCCTTGTTTTTTTTTTCAATTCCATTGTTAATTGCTGTTGTTGAAGAAAGAAGCAAATGTGTTTAAAAATATTAGAGTAGCACATCAAAGTGCGGGCTCTTTGTACACCTCACTCTCTTGTTACTTCCTAATTTCATATGATGTGATTGCTCCATACACCTATATCTTTTTGTGTGTCCTGCTAAATTTACCCTCTGAATGTCCAAGGTTTGTTTTACTTGATCCCAACCAAACAGGGTTGTGTGCGGATTTTTGTCCTTTGTGAGTATGAAATGTGTTAGACATATCATGGCATAATAGAGCACTAGTCTTCTTAGGTACATATGTGCATCACAAATTCTTGGATCAAATGTGACAAGAGATGAAACAAAATGTTTTGGGTATTGTAATTTTTTTAAGCGGAGGCCAGCCATATTTTATTTCACCCATCTTCGTTCTTTCCAAGCTTGATGACAGGTGTGATGGCAACACTTGGTGCGAGTTTGGCCAATGATCCAACCTCACCTTTCCAAAAGCTCACAGGCAGTATGAATAGTATTGGACTGATTTGAGTAGTAAAGCCACCAACACGTATCAAACTGAATGATCTATGTCTTGGGTTTTTCCATCAACAAAACATACACACAAGAACATAGAGGTTTCAAGAGATATTTTTTTTTCACTAAAAGAAGTATTGATGTCAGATTTGGTTTGGCGAAGAAATTGAATGTGGGATAATCTCAGGTTGAAGTAATGCAATCATTTGGAGTTTTTGGTTCATTCTAAAAAGGGTGGATTGATTTTATTTTCGATTTTCAACAAATCCGCCAGAGCAAGTGTTTGGGGATTAGTATACCAAAAGGCTGAAGAAAAGAATGTTTCAAGAAAGATGCATTGTTGTCAGTGTGATGGTGGTAACAGTTGTGGAGTTGAAAAATGATGAACGTACGTTGGCCAGTTTGTTCACCCCCAGGATCACCGATCCCAGGTGCAGTTTTTACAAACTGTTGTACAGTATTCACTTCAAGTGCTTCCGGGTTGATGTTGTGCTTGACCCACTCCAACTCTTGATCCACTAGTTTCCGTATTTCGATGGGATCAGTGGGCAGTTTCGGGTTTCCGTGCCTCTGCAGGGGGAGGAAGGGGTGGAATGCTCGGGTGATAGCAAGCCAGTGGGGATCAAAATATAATTTGGCTGTGCTGTTAACCTTTATATCATCCGGCTTCGGAGTAATCTGTAGCTCCGCCTGCGCATCATTGGTAGAGTCTTCGGGTTTCTGTCCGGATGCTTGTTGGAAAGATTCAGTTGAGGCTTGTGTAAAGGGATCCGGTTGAGGTATGTCGAGAATCTACTTGCAACAAACACAAAAAGCGCGAAAATTAGGAACGTAACCAATATGAAAATTATCTGGATTCACCTGAAGGAAATCCTTTCGGGGTAGACATTTGTCTAGCGCTAGAAATCGAGTGGATCTTGCCGCTGTATTGATCGGAGGATTCTGTAAGCCAACCGAGTTTCTTGCTGTCGAACTTCCGGTTGCTTCTTGAGCTTGGCTGCTTTCAGCGAGATGGAGGGCGGGTACGGGTTCTGTTTTTTCCTCAGGGTCGGACGGATGATGTTTCTCACGGACGCCCATCTCCAGATGCGAGGTGGAAGTAACCGGCTCAGAAAGGCCATCAATTTGAGCATGAATCGGAAGACCACAGTGATTAAATGGACTGCCTTCAGGTGCAATTTCGTCATCACTGTCATCGATATCTATAGCATCAGGGTTGATGGTGAGGGGTTTCACCGATGTAGAAGCGTTTTTCTGGTCGTCTTCGTCATCGCTGTCATCAATAGGTATCATGTCTGGATTGAGGACGGGTGTCTTCAGCGAGGCGGATGGATGTTTCTGTTCGTCTTCATCATCATCAAGATCTATTGCTAATTCGTCTGGGTTAAGTGCTCCTGATCCTATGAGGGGTGGTTGATGGATTTGTGGATGTTTGTCATGATAATATAAGGCGGCAAATTTGACATGTAGATGAGCTGAGAACCAGTAGTGAGGTTTAATCGTTTTGAGCAAATGCATGAGCGGGGGTGACCCAAGCGTGTTGGAAGCAACCTATGTCGTGTATCAATTCAAATCAGAATCCTTCCTTGCGTGCACCAGGCTGATGACAGTGAAGCGATCAAAAGTAGGCTCACCTCATCCTGAAAAAAAGGTTTTGCGCGGAGAAGTTGGGCTGTGTTCCCATACTGCTCAATACCGACAGGCCAATCATGGGATATGAAGATATCGCTTGAACTTGCAATTGGGAGTTGGGCGAGTCGGAATATGTCATATTCCCGCACATGGTAGATGGATCGGATCGTCCCCTTATCATAGGGCAGCCGTTCATAGTGTCCTAAACAAGATTGAGTCAATTTGAAAGCGTGTTGAAGAAATTGTTTCAAGTTTTACTAACCAGCAGTGTAATCATGCTTTTTGTAAATCCCACTCGCACCACTGATTCGAATCGAGTCAACCGATCCATCTGGCAACTCTTTTTTGAGATTCAGGGAGCCGGCGAAACCTAAGAAATAAATGTTGGGCGCGACCCAGCCACCATGATAGCTTGAGGGCACAAAACGAGGTTACCGAGTGAGTAAGAAATCCGAATGAACAAGAAGGTGGGAGTGAAAGACGTGCTTACAGCTCCCATAGATAACCTGAAGCTTCGTGGTTTCCACCAACAAATATTGTCAAGATTGGAGCTACCTTTGGTGAGAGGCGACTTTCGCGCGGGAAACAAAAAAAAAGCAAAATTCGATCAGAAAATGGGTTTTCAGAATTGTTGGGTAGGGGGGAGGAAGTGTACATAGTCTTAATGAAACAAAAGCCACCTTCTCTCCACTATAATACTGCCAGAATGTGCCCAGCTGACGATACTTGACTGGGGCCGCAAAGGTTTCTAAGTCTGAATGATTCCTAAACGATTGGAAATCTCCACAGCATATCAACACGTCGGGCGCTTCGATTCCTGCTTGATTTTTCGCGACCTCAATCGTTTGGTAGATCTTTTTTTTTTGTTTAAAACACTTGAGCCTCAGTCATTCGATTAATTTTTACTTTGTTTGAAAAAAGTGGTAATTTCTGACATTGTCTAGTTCTCCATGACAGCACCCTTCGATAGCGACCTGGATGGACCGAAATGAGTTAGCCTCCAGGTAAGATTGAAAGAATTAAAACACGGGAAATCACTGTACCTTCATGTCTTCAGGTTCTTAATGGCACGCCTTGTGGAACGGAATTGTTGAAGGTATGAATGCCCTCGCAGGCAAAATATCCAGCAGTGGTCTGGCACAGAACTTGACATGTCACCCTACATGTCACTCGCCTTTCACCAAAGATCCTAGGTTTCGGCAGAGAAAAGGAGATTCTCATCTACTCCATGTTTGTATCTCGATCAAGTGACTTGGGCTGAAGTTCGAGATTTTGCTAATGCTCTAGAAGCATTCACTTAAGTATCTTCCATTCCTCTCAACCAAATCTATCAAGCAAACAGAAAATCAAGCAAACAGTAATGAGTGCTTTTGTCTCAAGTTTCATTTTCTCAATTCCTGTGTTTATGTGTAGAGCTATCCCTTCTAATTTCTTTCCTTTGATTATACATTTTTTTGGGATATGTGTCCAAATTTCCAGTTGATAAACCCAAACCCGTCAATAACCATAATATAAAAGTCCATGAGATTGGTACAAACAAAATTGGCAATCCAGTGGTTTGACTGGTGATACTTTTCTGATTCCTTTGGGCAAAGATAACTCAAAAAGCCCTAAGATGCCCGATTCTTTGAAGGGCTTGTTTGTTCTTCTCATGTCTGGTTTTCAAGAGGCAACATGAAAATTGGTCACAGACACTATGTCAGATGAATAGTGAAAACAAGGATTTCTTTGAAGAGCCTTTTAATTTGATTTGATTCCAGTTTATTTTTGTGAATAAATTGAATATCTAGCCAAACGAGATACAACTAAACACATTAACTTTTTACAAATTCATTATCACTATTATCACTGCCAGAAACTTTACATTACATCCATGTTTTTTTTTAAATCATAATGAATCATAACATTGTGGAAAAATTGTACTGATATGTTTAAATATAAAGAAATCAAAAACCCGATTGTAAATCCAACATATTTTCTTCATTCTACTTTTTCATGGCGATTTTCGCCTAGCCTGATGTTCCAGAGCAAGGGGTTTTCTCAATCCTTCTTGATCGTAATCCTGGGGTTCAACAGTTCGAGCCTTGCGTTGATAAACGAACATCGCCATTGTTGCCTGCCGTACCACCGCTGATATAGATTGATCCAGGCTGTAATTAGGAACATTAGGAAAAGAATGAGATGATTTATCTACCTCCTCAGCTCAAGATAAAACAGTATAAGCTTACGCGAGAGCCACACTGGTTCAAAATACGCTTGAAGGAAGGATTCACTTCGGGGTGAGAGCTGTATACGCCAACATTTGCCAATCAATAAACAGGCCAGAAAATCATAGGGTCATGAGGGCTTACGTGCGGAAGTTAGAAGAATCGGTGGTTTGCATGAGTACCTGAAAAAAGAAAGACGATCGCGTATCAGCCGCAAGTCCAGATTTGTTTGCGTTCCAACTTCGGAGTAACTCACAGTGCAATTGCCCCAGGTAGCCTTAGAGAATGGGGCATTTGTGTTTTGAACATTGAAGTTGCCCTTCTGGTCAACGGGGAGTTGGTTGAGGGCACTGTCCAAAAAAATATAGGGTAGTCTCGAATTTAATGGGCATTCTGGTCTGGTTCTGCTTCTGGCAGCTCATTTTATGATAGACCACATCAACTCACAGTAAACAGTCATTGGGTTGAAAGTTACAGACCCGCTGTTGACACCTGGGCTGGTTAACATTATAGACATTGCTGGCCGTGGAGCGATAGACTTGTGCCTGGGTGCCGTCCGGGTACTTTCGAATTCCTCCCTAAAGAAAGAAGGCATTTACAGTCAGTCAATGAGAAAAAAAAATAAGATAAGCCAGTAGGGCTACCACTCACGGATGGACGACAGGTGTTCGCAATTGCCAGAACCGTAGCTTCGACCCACTGTCTAGTACTATTTATCAATCAAATGTTTGTTAGGACTCTTCAGCGCTCAAGAAAAATATTTTGTGGATGGTTCAAGAGCTAGAACATACGGTTGGTTTTGTTGCAGCTTCTGGATATTGATCTATACAGCCAGCGAAAGATGGAAGCGTAAGTGGAAATTGAGCCCGCATCATTAGACAATCCTTGCTTAAGAAGACACTTACGACACAACTTTGATGCCAAGTGAAAACCGTGCTGGAAAGGCTATCCAAGCGTCCATTCGAGTCATACACAATGTTGCGGAGAGCTCTATTTGTATTTCAAGCAAAGACAGATGTGAATCAGATGATGTTTTTGTCTAAAAAGAACATTTGACGCTTGGGTGCTCTTAGGAGAACAAAAAAACTAACCGGCGACAGTGGTTTACATCAAGCCCGGTGTACTGGGACTTGAAGCAGGTAACCCTGTTGCTGTTGTTGTTGTTTTGTTGGGCGATTAGGGTGCTTGGGAACGCAACAAGCACCATGAGAAATCCGAGTATGGAGAACATGTTCGCAAGTTTTTAGATATGGAAACTGCCTTGGTCGAGTTCGGTCTGGGTGGTAGCTCGTTACGCTGTATTGGCAATCGTCTATTGGTTGTGGTCTTGGGATAGGCGGCTGGATATTATTTGGGGAGTTCTTCTGGGAGCGCTGCCGGTTGAGTGGATGGGGAATGATTTCCGAACCCACCAGGAAGGTGACTTTTAAAGCCTTTCGTATGGCCCAACACATCATCACAACACCGCTGCTTGATTCTGGTCGGCCCTCGGAGGAGTATCGAAGCCCGAATTAGAAGATCTGCCCGATTCAATTAATGAGTGACTGTTTGGCAAACAAGCACCACGCAAGCGTGCCATATTTCTTTACTGCTCTTCCAAGTTCCGATGGGTTGAGGTGCTCCTTTTGGAAGTTCAGATGTGGTGCGTCTGGAGTTAGGAATCAATTCATGTCGGTGTTATGATATGTATGGATCACTGACCGAGGTCGATGCCGTGATCAACAGTGTGATGCTTAGCGGCATTGTAACCTATCATTAATTTGCGGATCACTCCATTGACTTGCCGATCTTTTCCTAATTTTTGTTGTACGCACTCATGAAGGACTGACCAGTTGATGAGTCAGGTGCATTCACGACTTCGATCACCATGGTAATTTTCAACTTGGTAAATATGTAGCTAGGCCTTGAACAGAGGGATCCTACAACACTTTCCAGAGAATTTGTACGGGCCAGCGTGAATTCCAGGCCGCGTAGATCAGGTTGTGTGGTTCTTGCTCCAGTGTAGGATCGGGGTCAACTCTTGCCAAAGTTATGTTCACTCAACAGCCGCAAGCATTTAGGCAATTGCATCTACATAATCCAGCCAAGAAGAAAAACACGTAATTCCTGATATTTGTGTTGGTCTCATGTCGGTCGAACTGCACGCGAAACGGTTCCGCCCGCGGGCCGCATCGGCGGTCGCCATCAGGGTGTCTGCTGCTTGAGTTGGATGGCCAATAACAATGACTTGCCACAAATTCCATCTCAGAGTCCCAAATGGCGACCCAGCCTTATTCCACACTTACCGAAGGATTAGCTGTGTGATGGGGGTGGTGGCCAGTCTTACACCTTGCCGTTACAACTGACTTGAGATTGATTGCCTTACCTGATAGGACAAACATCCTGCATAGTGTTGTGGACCTATTTATGTTCTGAATTTCAAAAAGTCTTCAATGATAGATAAAGACATCATAATACTTAATAAAATAATTATTTATTCGATCCAAGACGAACCAGAGCAACAGTACGAGCCCCATCTGCGCCCGAGAAGGAAAGAGTCATACATCATAGCACGTACCGCCCCGAGCTTAACCGTAACAAAGCCTCTCGGCGAGAGCCCAGACTCCGGTGGGCAGCTCCGCAGGACCTGTCTCAGAGACCCTCCTCCCTGCGGTCGGCGCAATGTGACAGTGTCTCAACGCCGACTTGTGTTCAGTTCGACACCGCCCTGGAGGGACTTCGGTCCCGGGCTGTCATCTCCTAAAATCATCTCCTCTTTCCAGATGTCCGGGAGAACGAGTGCCGGTGGCATCTCGCCAAGGAGGGTCGCTATGCGAGGTGCTCCAGGAACGCCGGGTGCACCGTGCCCCGTCGAGGTGCTCCCGGAACGCCGGGTGCACCGTGCGCCGTCCCTCTGGAACAATGGAGTGCCTTAAGCTAGGTTAAGGGCTGTCCGGGAAGTTGGAACTAAAAAATCAAGGCCGCTTGCATGCAAATGCGGGCTTGCTTTAAGCTCGACAAAACCGGGAAGATCGCCTGCCAGAGGCACGCCTCCCGTAAAAAAGGATAGAGGGGCTTTTAGGCTCGCTTGTTGCTGAAGAACTGCAGCTGACCAGTATACCTCGTTAGGGCCCAGGGGCATAGAATGAGTCCTGAAATGAGGGGCTTACGACAAGATCAGCAAGTGTCGCCGGAGGCTTCATCTTTTGTTGAATCCGGGCCGAGTCTAGTTTAGAAGCGGGGCAGATCAGCCGCATGAGCTGATCCTCTAAACTGTTACAAGATTTTAGGTGATCATGGTACAAATACGCACACATACCGAGGAACATTTGCAAAAAAAGTGAAGCCTACGCTTAAAAATAGATTCCATCACCCGACGGCTCCTGCTGGCCTTCCGCCATGCACGTGTGTTCCCCAAATCGCGATCATCAATCACTGACACAACTCTCTGTGTTTTAGCAAAATTTCTTTCACCAGCCAGTCTGTTCACGAAAATCAGTTACCTTCCGGTGTGTGACTGATCAATCACCAAGCTCATATCCTTATGAAGCAAATCAACTTCCTTTCAGCTACCCTTGCTGTTGCTTGCCTGCTGCATTCAACGTGTGTGCAAGGAGCTCACCCGAGCGTGAACTGCTATACGAGTAGAAAGTCCGAGCAGTTGAACGCCGGCAATTGTCTCAGGTAGATGAGTCCCTTTTCCTTGAAGTGCAGAGGGAAAAATTAACTGATGGAAAACGTTCCCTACACACAGAGCATTGGAAACTATTATCTGGGACGAAAACCTCAGCATGGACAGCATATCAAACCCTATCACGGTGGGCTACGCTGACTGCATGGTAAGTAAATCACCTCCCGGTCGCGTCTAACTTTACCAACAGGATCAATCAACTCATTAGTCCAACGCGATGACAGGTCAAGATCGACAAGCCGAAACGAGAAAGACCGTCAGTCACCATTGACCGAAGATTTTTTTTTTCTAGCTCACACATGCGGAGACTCATCTTTTATCCATTGCATATTCCTCAACAGAAAGAGAGATCACGTAGTAGATATCGTGCTAGATGTGATCAAAAGTTGCCCTTCAAGAGTCAGTCCAAACAAAGAACAGATGTTAACGAGATCTTAATTAGAAGCTTATGACAGCTTGGGATTATAGGGCGGCGTATCTAGCTATATTCATGGCATGAGCGCGCAAGTATTCCCTTCCTCAGCGGGAGAGATCAGCGACATAAGCATCCCAGTGTGCTCTGCACGCCACTGCCAATACGAAGCTCGCGATTGCCCAAGGTGAGCCGTCCAATCCTTCCATATTGAAAAGTCACTATTCACACAGCAAAGCTCAATTTTTGTCCGATGATGCAATCATGGTAGTGCACTCGAGTTGGTCGGCCTGGATCTGGAAACAGTCTATCTTTCCCCTTCAACTTTCACCAGCGGCAAACTGCACTGTTGAGTTCACCCCTCCTCCTATTTCGCTTTCGCGCCACCAAATTGCTGACGCCGAAAAGATACCGGTTCTTATCAGCTCACGCTAGCAACCACTGATGATTCCCCTTTCGCAATGTGAGTTCTGTTGATGATATGAGACATGCATACCTTACATGTTGCATTTTCTTACCTGGCATCAATCGAAATAGCTCCTCTTCTTCCTTGAAACCGACTTACGACAAGCTGGCGAAGCGTTGCGTCTCCGACGTGAGTTGCCGCGTTACTCAAAACTCACTTCACAGTCAATGAAAATTGACGGAATTTTCGTTTTTCTGCTATATCTAGCCTGGATGGGTGTACATGAGCGCTGGCAATGCCGGACAGATTGATGGTCTCAGATTATCGGCTCAGGGCAGCCAATGTCCATAATCCGCTCAAGATAACTTTTCTATTTTTCTTTGAGACTGCCTTGGTGTTTTGCGTTGATACATGAACAGAAAAATAAAGAAAGCACTGGTTGATTTCTATGTGTGATTGTGTTGAGATTGCAAAAGGTTTTGATTGCTAAATTCGTATCGATCTATATTCTATGTATGGGAAGAAGCGGATTCAGTCGCGGGGGCCAGATATTCCACCAAATCACAAAGATTCGCCATTTGCGTCTGCTGCGCCTCAATGAACATTGGGTCTATCTATAATGCTTCCTAATAGAAACATTGCCACGGCGTGATGTATAGAGGATGACATTCTGGCCATTTGCTTACCCGGAGTTTCAAAAGTTGCACATTTAATGATCAATTTGGATAAGATCATATAATAATACATGAGACGATTGCACTACCCGAATTCTTTGAGACACGGGTCAATTTCTCTCAATCAGTTGCAGAAAAGGAGCTTACGCAATACATAGTATATCCTATTGAGACATTTTCAAGTAGCAAAATCAGGAGTCGAACCTTTCGGGATGAGAAAAAGCGTGTTATACCTGGTGCTCTACTAAGGCAAACGATTCGCATTTCCCACCGGAGGGACGTCAAAATGGCCGCTTTCGATCTGATCCTTTGTAATTTCTTCGAGCAAAACGCCTGTTAATCATCCAAAAACCGAGAAAATAATTGAAGATGGCTTGAATCAGGATTCTTTGCGCTGCTGTAAATCAAATTGCGTTTAAAAATCCAGATTCAAGTGATGCCTGGCGGCGATTCTCCCAACAATTGAATTACGGGCATGGAAAAAGCTGTTTTGCACCTGATTTGACGAATTGAACGGATGTGTTATGTTTATATTATTTGAGTGTTAGCTCACCAATAGCCACCAAGGCAGAACCATCAAGAGCTCGCGTCATCGCAATAGGTTCTTCCCAATTCTTCGGCCTGGGGCCTCGATGAGCAGGAGGGATCGATATGACATTGTGCGAGCTATAAAACGACATTGCTTCGTGATGGATCGATCGTAAAAGATCCTGTGCGTAGGGGGAAGCTGAATCAGTCATTGCACCATTTCAACAGTTGTCCCAGGATGTATTACCGATGGTGGAAGATCTATACATCCGTTTGATTTCAATGCGGTGAGTAAGGAATCCACATTGCAGCATTGAGGTGACCTGAAAAGACAATGATTTGACCTGGTGTTACAGCTCTTGAGGAAGGTTGCGGAATAGTGTCCAGGGGAGGGGCAGGAGCTCCTTGCGCAATGGGACCTGCTGATGTGATGGTCGTGTCTGCCTCGTCATTGTCGGCCTGCTGTGGGTCTTGAGGCCGAGTGGCGGATGCACTTCTTTTCAACCTCTTATTCTTCTGCCGCTTCCACAAGCGACGTCGATCTTGATCTCGGCGGTCTAGAACAGGCTCTATGTCGAAGAACCAAGGGCCATCCTCGGCAACTATGGACCTTTTAAACTTTTTGCTCGACCGAAAAAGCGGATCTCCAAGCTGAGTTTCGCGTTCCGAAGTATACTTCGAGCAAGTGTAGATCGAGTCGCCATCGATGAGCTTCTGATACTCGGGGCGAGATGAACGTTCGATCTTGCGCCGCACAGGCTGGATTGGGTGAGTCATATGTTGATGATGATCTGATACATATGCTGGAAAAAGATAGAAACGCCCCTTCTGCTGCTGGTTTGGTCATCCACCTTCAAAAAATGGTTTGCATGTGAACCCTGTGTGAAACCCATGTCCGTCACTGGACAGCTGCGCAATGTAGATATCGCTGAATAGTCGACAACCCGGAGGCCGGCCCCGGAGGCGCTCCTTGCACGAGAGGTGTGTTGGAGCTCAAGAGTGAGCTGCAATTCTCTTTGCTGGCAATTCAAAACTAGTACTACTCAACTACATACCCCCTCGTCGTGCGGAGGGTTGAAAACACTTGTCGGATTGCGCCTCCCCGGCAAGTATGTATCTTACTGATCGTGCCATGCTAGCCTCTTCAATTGAACAAAGAGAGTTGAGGCCGCGAGTATGAAATTGATAGGTGAGCCTCGCATAAACGGTGAGGGATAGAGCTAGTTTCTTCATCTATAGCCGGACCATAGGCAACACAAGGGTAAAATAAATCTCCTCCCAAGTGCATCAAAACCATCTTCAAAATGTTTGATAATAAATTTTGGATTTCTTGAGTGTACGATACAAATATATAAGAGTGAAATAGATAAAAAAAAACGATGTTCAGCAGATTCATTGCGGGGTAATCTATGTGGTTGGACATGTTATCGTTTAGGGCAAAGTTTGAGAATGAAGTTGGAGATATATCATGGATGTTTGAAATAAAAATAGAGAAAATCGTGAAGCTGAAGAAGAGAACACTGAAGAACATGGTTTTTCCGCTGGCACAGAACTGCAGAATCAGCTAGCTACATTTGGGCCATCCAAAAAAAAAAAAAAAGAAGGATGGTTTTCGGAAGGAGACTAATTGCAGAGGTCCTTGTTGGCTGGACGAGCCGAGAGCCAGATATCACCGTTGTAGCCTTTCGTGCCGCCGCCGAAGTAAATCTTGCCGGGCTAGGGATCAAAACAATCCTTATCAGCATCGGCTTTAGTCGGTAAGACCGCGTATCGTAATGTGTAACATACGTGTTCATCACACTCGTTGAGGAGCTTCTTCATGGTAGGCAAGACAAATTGACGGGGACTGCGATGGAATATAACGGGTCAATCACGGCCAAAAGATTGTTATGAGGGGCTGGAGCGCGGCAAGGTAAATCTCACATGGTGAAAGCAGACAGATCGGTAGTCGACGCGGTGACCTGGCGAGTTTGCACGACGATTGATCGATCGAAGTCAGCTTCAGGGGGATGGATAAGATAACGAACTTGAACATACTGTACAGTTTCCGCTGGTCACACGAGCAAACGGGTTCTTTCCCTTTCCATTCACGAAGACACCCTTGGCATTTGTAGGAAGTTGGTAGAAAGCGCTGTTGGGCCATGTGTCAGAACGAGGTCATTCAAACTGGGCGCGTTATTGCTTACCTCAAGCAATCACTTTGGGTCAGGGGGCATTTCTCTTTCTTGCAAATCGACTTGTTGACTTCGTGCACGTTTTCTTTTGTGCTGCGCTCAATTCGCATGGCAAACTTCGAAGATTGTGAAAGCACACCTCCCTATTTCAAAACGTCAGTATGAAGTCGTGTCCATGAAATTGTAACACTTATAGCTGGATAAACAACTGACCACGGAGTGGCAGGCAGTCGTCAGAGTTTCAACCATCAAGCTCAGTTGGGCCTTTTGTCTGTTAAAAACAAGCAGGGTCTTAGTGAGTATAAAGCTGGTCGGCTTCTAACGAAACACAAGACTCCTGGGCGCTTACAGAGTTGCATTCATGGGCTTGTGGATATGAACCTACGGGTATCATGGTATCATAGATTGAAAGATTGGATCAGTGGTTTTCAAGCATTATGCATGGAGGAGGGGATGTACTCACATTACACGTCTTGTAATTTGCAAAAATAAGACCCGAAAACTTATCAAGCGTTTGGTTCGCTGCAAAAGCGACTTTGTCCAAGGCCCTAGTCACAAAAGCATTGGAGTTAGACCACGACATTTTGAGAGGCCTTCAGACAGAATAGAAGATTCAAAATGGGGGGGGGGTACTTACTTGCGACAATGATGAGATTCGACGCCATGGGATTTGTGTTTCGAATGGCAAATCGTACTGGGTGGCAATTCCGCATGATGTTCTGCGGCATGATCAGAAGCAACTGAAGTTACGCCGTTGGTAGTCTCTCCTTCGGGAGAGTGTCGCGAACTCGCGGGCGTATTTTCGCTTGTCGTAGAAGTTGGAGACGTGGCCGCATGGGCAGCATTCGGGACGTTTGGGGATGATGTGGCATTGGTTGAATGGGCAAGGGTTCCCGGAACTTCAGTATCAGCGGCAGCGGTGTGGTTCGCCACTACCAAGGAAGCTGGGACTGCACCAAGAGCCATCAAAATGTAGGCAAGGAAAATTTTGGAGATCATTTCGAAACTTTATTATAAGGTCAGTGGTGTTGGATTGACGTGGTTCCGGAACACGATTTTTTAACTCTGTAAAGAGTGCTCAAGCAAAGGTAATTGGTGCACAAAGTATAGTAACCACCTGGGTCAAACTCGGATGGTGATGCTGATAGGCTTGAAGGGATGGTATGGAGGGAGAGCGCTACACGATTGGAGTCTGCAGTTCTTATAGAGGTGTTATTTGAAACGAGTGGCTCCATCCATGATCCATCATGAGCTCCTCCAATAGTCCAAACAGATCATTCTTAAGCATCTCGCCCCCATGATATGGACTTGATGTAACAAGCACCAATCCATAGTTCGAAATACTTATAGCCGGAACTAGATATTGATTAGCTCCACACAATCCATGCCGCTCAATGATCGGCGCCATTTTAGCCCGACCCTCCGGCAGACATAGCAAGGGAGGGAAAGAGTCTGATCTGAATATTACTCGCAAACAGCCTTGTATTTACGTTTTGACAACCAAGTCCAACGGACACGTTGAGGTCACCACTCATGCTTGACAGAGTTCTGAGTCTGACCAGGCGATTGGGATCCACATATCGTCTTATATCTTGTATCCAAAACCTGCGTTTCCGGATCTCTGATCCAAAATACGGCACAGAGGTTTTTGCCATCCAAGCGTTACCGGATGTGGGATCTCCATGACCCAAACCCGAGCCCTGGTCCGGCCAACAGGCCTCTTGGGCATTTATCTGATTTCTGAGGCCCAGGTGAAACAAGCCGCGTGATGGAAAAGTGCCCATTGTGAATCTCGTAGAAGCTGTCACAAGATTTGTGGCTATGAACATCGCTGTGACATGCTCGAATGGGCTACTTGGACAATCGAAGATTCCCAGGGAGCACACTGTTTCCCAAAAAATATTCTCCATGTTCTTGAATCGGCTGGCAGCGACAACCAGGCCATACAGCTCAGCGACAAGGATGGCATTACAAGCAGAAACCAAGACAGCAGACAATCCAGATGAACGGGCCCGAGATTTATTGAATTGTTTCAACAACATAAACCAACAAGTCGAGCAGGCAGCTTCAGGTCGCGAGGTTTGTTTTTTTAAACACAATCGTCTAGTTTACAACTCTTTGCTGACTGGTTTTACTACGATCAAAGTAGGTCAGACTGGTAGCGGTATCTAAATTGAAACCAGCTTCCGATATCTTGACGCTCTATCGGACCACCGGGCATCTCCACTTTGGCGAAAATTACGTGTCTGAGCTACAGGAGAAAGTCAAAGCAGTTAGTCAAATTGCATCCTTAGATCGATAAAACCTTCTGACTTCCCTATCCCTCTTACCGTTCATCGATCCAAAGCTTCCTGGCGATATCAAATGGCATTTTATTGGTGCATTGCAATCGAATAAATGTAAAATCCTTGGGGGTGAGTAATTGGGCTTGATCTTATCTAAGTTTGTCTGTCTGTTTCTTTGCCTCTTTGTTGCTGACTTACCTCAGCAGCCGATACTAAATGTAGGACTAAAGTGACTTGATTTCCACACGTGTGTACATATGTCTGTTTTTTTTAGCGATTCCCAACCTATTTGCTGTTGAAACTGTTGACTCACTTCACAAGGCACAACTGCTAGAAAAGTCGCGGTCGGGTCTGGCATCCTCAGTTCAAGTCAATCCTCTGGAAGTCTACCTACAAGTCAACACGTCGGAAGAAGCTTCGAAGGCCGGTTTCATCACGCCATCTAACGAGCCCATTCTTAGCTCCAACTTACATTCGACAGCAAAGTACATCAAAGAAGAGTGTCGATGGTTAAAACTGGCAGGGCTAATGACCATAGGATCCATCGGCCAATCGAAATCCGATCAGGGGACTAACAAAGACTTCGAACGATTAGTTCAACTGAGGGATCAACTCTCCGAAAGCCTTGGCGGATTGGAGCTTGGATTGAGTATGGGAATGAGTGCCGACTTTGCTCTTGCGATCAAAATGGGAAGTGACAACGTGAGGGTGGGCTCAAGTATTTTTGGAGAGCGGCCGCCATTCAAGAAACCGGAAACCTGAAAGTCAAATGATACTTTTCATGAAATGATCTTTTACACACCTCGAGCAATATGTAGCATCACCTGTCTGCTCACGCAATTCATCCAATTTACAGTTGGGTTGCGAAATTTGGTACTTGCCAAATGGAAGCCAACTGCTGTATGGGCCCATAGACATTTCCAACCACTGTCTCAGAGTCAGATAGACTATGTACTCCTCTTCGGCCTTCCTTCCTTCCAGTGGGGAAGGCGGGGGATCATAAATGCAAATGAAATACAACTGTGAACACATCTTTATGTGAATTTTTGTTGTGCCCATTGACCTTCCATCCTACATAAACACAGAAAGGTTGGGCTTTTCTGTTGGATGAGCCTTAATGTGAAAACTGTCCCCACCTTTCAACCGCGACACGGCCTAAGTCGCTCATTTTTGGAGTTGCCCATTTGTGAGTAGGACCATCGGAATCCTCTCAAATTTTTGAGTTGGAACGGCCCATCACGTGGAGGCTCTGCCGGCCCCCACCCAGTACCCGACTGCTTGCCTGAGCCCCAACGAGGCCTCGGCAGCATGGTCGGAATCTATACAGTGATGTGTACAGGCTGGGAGGCGCAAATAAAGTTTTATTAATATTTTATTTTTTGCGATTTCAACCGGTCCCATTCTGGGAAGTGCAGCAGTTAATTAATCATAGTTGCTCTTCAACCATACAGAAGAACATATTTATTAACACCATAAAAGTTACCCAATCAAAAGCGAACTCTTATCGAATCAAAAGACCCAAATTCCCGAAGGCAAAGCGACCACACCCGCAAAAAAACACGACCTAAATTCACAGAAAGACAGCGAGACGTGAGGAATGAAGTCGATGTCGATCTTTTTCATCGTTTGTGTCTTGGCCTGTTACTCACCTGGCAATGGTAAGCTCACTCCGATTCAATTCAAGCTCCAAATCGTTCTGCGTTCGATCACTTTTCGAAATCTTCGTCAGGGGTCGTACAGGGAAGGTGCCAGTGTCAGTCATTAACAGTTGCCCGATTCTGTACTAGCTCGAGTGATTCATTCCCTTGATCGAGCCGCCTCGCGACGCTCTACTGGCCCTTCGCGACGGGTTCATTCTTCCGTTGGAAAACCGAGCCGTCGGCTTGGTGAGCATACCCAAGAGCATCCTAATCCTACAGATTATATGGGCTTTGGTGCAGCCCGGGAGGGCGACGATGGAGGACACACCTACGGTTAGAACTCCGATATCTGCGACCCATTCAGCGCTGGACGGCTCAGCACCATTCGTTCTTCCCAACATCCCCCTAACAACTATTTATCGGTTTCTCGGAGTCTTTGATCTCCTTAGTTTCACTCTTTTATCATATTTGGGACTATTATCCGCTGTGAACTTTTCAAAGATCTTTTCAATTTTCCTGCTTTGATCTAAACTACATTTTCAGTTTTTACCTATCTACTCAAAGCTTCTGCACACTTCAAACATGACCATTAGCTATTCATGATATTAACCTTTTCTGCTGCATCACATAAAAATCAGCTTTCACCCAGTATTCATGCCACACACAACCTTGGATTTTGCAGTTTGGTTTGATGTCAACTTGTATTTACAAACCCACAGAAGATGGTCATAAGTTATTCATAATCATCAACCGTTTGAGTCGTATAAATTAACTTGTTACCCACCATAGTTGGATTAAACAAGGCTGATAAAGCTAAAATATTGTGTCACAATCAATGTTATGGTTGGTTTCAGATCACTTGCAAGGCAGTGGCAAACTTCTATCAATTGGATGTGTAACACAAAAAATCCCCTTACTAGGCAATGATGACTTATATGTATTGAGGGGATAATATGTAAGAAATCAATTTAAAATTCCAAAAAAATAATGAATAATAAGCCTGTAAGAATTAATTAAAAAAACATATTGAATGCAATATTCAAGAAATAGTTTTCATTTTTATGCAAAACGGTTTTCACAATAATTTTCTACATGTCTGAAAGTGTAGGAAAAAAATCAAAATGTCAAAGGATAATGAAAATCAAGCTGCAGAAAATTAATTGAAAAAAGTGTTGAATTGCAGTATTAAAAATGAACCATTTTTTTTTTTTTCAAATTGGATTTTACCATTAAATTCTACCCATTTTATAGTGTAGGAAACAACTTTAAAATTACAAAAAATAATAAAAAATAAGGTGTTAAAAATTAATTTAAAAAACACGTCCAAACGTGGAATCCACGTGTGCTGTGCTGCTGCAAAACCGCGTCAAAACACGGAGAAACCACGTTTTTTTTATTAAGGCCCTAATCAAAATCATTTTTGCAATAATAGGACTTTACCATAAAATTCTACGTCATTTGTTAGAGATGGTCAAAGGGTATCCGTCACGGATACCCGCCAGCGCCAGCGGGTGCGGATGGCCCCTTTTCCGCAAAACACTGGCGGGTATCCGGGTATCCCAAAGGATACCCGAGGCCAGAAGGGTAGATGGCCGGCTGGAAGGGTTTCCTTCCAGCTGGCGAGGTACATGCTTGATGGCTGGAAGGGTTTCCTTCCAGCCGGCGAGGTACATGCTTGATGGCTGGAAGGATTTTCTTCCAGCCGGCAAGGTACATGTACCTTGTCAACCGGAAGGAAACCCTTCCAGCCGGCGAGGTACATGTACCTCATCGACAGGAGGGTTTCCTCAGTCGACGAGGTACATGTACCTTGACGGCTGGAATGAAACCCTTCCAGCCGGTCCCTCGCCGGCCCATTAAAGGGCAGGTATCCGAGGATACCCGCTCGGATACCCGCTAAGGCGGGGGGATACCCGCTGGCGGATGCGGATGCCGGTTTCCCTAGAAAAAGCAGCCGGATATCTGCATCCGCGCAGATATCCGGATGCGAAGCGGCCATCTCTATCCTTTGTAGTATAGGAAACAATTTTAAAAATAAAAAATAAAAAAACCAAAAAATTAGTGGAAAAAAAATTAGTTAAAAAACCGTGTGTAAACGCGGAATCCGAATGTGCTGCACGCAGCAGAAACCACATGTAAACACAGAAAAACCGGGGTTTTTTATTAAGGCCCTTTATCAAGAAGAACACAAACCAACAAAAAAAAGAGGAGGTGTTTGCCCTTGATTTTCTGACTTAAAGCAATGCCTACAAAAATAAGCCAAAATATTCCCTGAACTTCAACCTTCAATTTTAGAAAAATTTATTCTATTATAAGAAATTCAATTTAACTTACCATCCAAAGTTTTCTAATATTCTTCTCCAGAGTAATTTCAATGCCTTTTCCCTCCATACCCCAGACTTTTCTTCTCTGGTACCCTTCCCAATGGTTGGCAAGTTAAACTGCCTCCAGTGATAGTGCAGCTTGGCATAGTGAAATTATGCTAAAAATAGTGTATCATAGTGTTATTCCAGCATGTCTGTGCTAACACTATTTGCACAGGCCCCCGAAGTACGCCCACTACACTGAGCTAATGTGATGGCTAGCGGCATTTTGGACGTTTAGCAGCCGTTAGTGGTCTGTAGCACAGCAAAAACCCACTAATCTTTTGCTAACACTACACAATTTCTGCACAAAAAGACTCCTGATATACTAACACTTTGGGGGAAAAAAGAATAGTGGCCCCCCATTTTCCTTCCTCTCTGATTGTGTCCTCCTCTACATCCTCAGAAGGCTATTTTTATTTTATCCTTTCTCAACTATTGCCATTCACAATTACTATCAGTATTTGGACATATTTGTAATCCCTGATGTGTAAGGGCAGGTAGTTCTTCACTGTGAAAGTCAATGGAATGCAGGACCAAAGTCCAGAATTCTATCAAAAAGAATGGATTTCAATATTTATGTGAGAAGAATAAAAGCTTGAGGATGGAGAATGAAGACCATCTTAAGGAAAAAGTAAGAGAGTTTGATCTACAGTACTATAATCTCCAGAGTTTGCAATGAAATTCTGGGTTGAGACCAGGGAAAAGGGGAGAAGAGCAACCAGTGTAAGACTCAAAAGTGGTTATAAAAACCTTTTGCTGAATGGAGAAGGGGATGGTGGAGGTGCAAGCTCTGCTCTTCTATGCTATCAGAACAACAAGACCACCAAGCTCAGATTGGCAGTTTATATATTGTGATAGAGGATAGTTCAAGATGAAGCTGTTGATCGATTCGTATAACGGTTAAAGTTGATGGTGATTTTTGATGATGATTTTATTGTTGGTAGAGTGTTGATTTTAATTTTGCTGAGATTGAGGGCTGAACGTGCAACCTTGAGGTTGATGGTATATAAAGCTAAAAAGAGGTGATTGAGAACTAAGGCGCAGGTGCTGGGAGCACTATGTTTCAACCAAGATAAGGTGGAGGTAAGGATTATAATTGGGCGGGCTGGGGCCTCCCGTGGGCTGGCCGCCTTAACATAATCAGACGGGTTGGGTCAGGCCAGTTTCAGGAAATCAGCAGCCCAACCTAAAACCCAATTAGCCACAGGCAGCCTGTGGGCTTGAGGTCTTCAAAAGACTGGGATGGAAATAAAAAAACAAACCAGATATATGTCTTGTATTCATTCAATCAAACAAATCAACCTTTGGGAAATCAACTGGGTAATTTAATATGTTAAGCTGTAAAATCAATTGTGTATGGAGATGGAGAAAAAGAAAAGGAGACCCATAAATGATGCCGTGTATATTTATATGGATAACTAGTATATGCCCCCAAATTTGGGGAGGCAGCTTGTGTTTGCCCTGGATGTTGGGGGTTTTACTCGATGACCTTTGGGGTTTTCTTGAGTTGGACACCTGTCTGCCTTGATCTAACGCCGGCGTCGACAAATCCAAAAAATGTGAATTGGAGGTCAACACCGGCGTTAGAAATGAACTGGGTTTGTTTGGCCCTCTGAGGCCATTTTTTTAGTTATATGTAGATAGATGAGATAGACACATTCAGAGAAAAGAGAAATTGAAACCTATACTTGAGAATCTTGTGCGTTGATCCAATCTTGAGTGCATAATAAAGCCTCCACTGTATCATTGCTGAGCCGCATTTGGTAATCATCAAGGACCTGCCCACCCGTGGAGAAATCTGACTCAGATGCCACCAAGGTCATTGGAATCATGAGCAGGATGCGTGCAACTTCAGAAAGAGATGGGAACCAAGTGGCATTAGACCCCCACCAGGTCAAAATGTTAAAATCATCTTTGTCAGTGAGAATCAAGTTCCACTCAGCTCCAGGGGTGTTTGCCAAAGATGATTCCATGCTTCCAGCAATTTACTGATGAAAACCAGAGATATTTTCCTTGAGCATCCTTTTTGATTTGGAGGGTACTGGTGCTGGGTTGGAGGGGACAGGACAAAGTGCGGGGTTGCAGGTGGGTCAATTAGGGATAAGGTATCGGTCCAATACTGACTTATCCCCATTCATACCGGACCAAGTGCTAGGATAGAACTCTGTTCAGGTCATCTTGGGCCAGGCCTAAGTAAAAAAATATCTCAAAAGTCCAGCCCAAACATGGTCCGGTCCGGGCGGCCCATTGGACACCCAGCCCAATTATCATCCTTAGGTGGAGGCAAGTTGGAGTTAAGGTGGAGTTAAGGTGGATGTCTTGAATGGGAATTGAGCCCAGTTCCTTGTAGTTGGGGTGTATAAATCCAAAAACAGTAGATTTCAAGCAAAGGTGAGATAGCTTAATGGATATGAGAAAAGTAATGTTGTTATTTCTACACTATAAAGAACTGTTATAATATATATAAGGGGGGTTGTAATCGTAAAACCTCAATACTGGATGACTTCCCATCACAATCTACAAACCTTCCAGAAGTTGTTTTACACCCCCTAGATCTAAATTTTTTATCAAAAAAATCTTTTTCCTGAAGCCTCCTGGCAATAGCTCTCACGTGAGCTGGTTGGAATCTTAATTGCTTTCTTAATTTAAGACTGAGAGAGGTCTAAAAAGTGCTCTAAATTGCGACGGGAAGTCCTCCACTAGGTAGCTAATAATAATGAGGAGTGACCAGTGATGTAATGTTATGGGGGGGGGACTGACTACAGAGCATCTGATGAGGAGGGAATACAACTGGCAGGCAGAGGCCTCCCTATATAGAGAAAAGTGAGGGATTTTAGCTCCAGGGTACATGCTTCTGATTTATTTTAGCTGGCCTGAAGATCCAATGAGGGATTTTAGCTATTCTAGTAAATGCAGGTGAGGGATATTAGCTAGTGAGAGCACAGCCTTGAGGGATTTTGGCTAGCCTACAAGGTCCTACTACAAAGGAATGCATGTGCACCAACAAAGGAATTCAATATGTTCTATGAGCTAAAAAAAAGAATTAAATACAACACAAAGTAATTCAATATTCAAAGCAAGCCATACTGAGAGTGAAGATTTCAAAAGATATACTGTGATTGGTTGACATCTGTGTAACTTCTAAACTATCAGAGATATGGGGTCAGTTGTAGTGAGTGACTAGGGTTTATTTTACCTGAGAAAACCGTTTCTGATGTTATTTTTACCATATCTATAACTTATAAATAGATAATAATAAATTTTTATATTTTCTGGTGAGGAATAACTACCACACCGGACCAACAAGCTCAAGACTATATTCTTGAGGAGTAAAAACAAGGTCAAAGTACCTCAAAGAGAGGCTTAAGCTGCTAGATTGCATGGAGG